CGGGTCACTTCCGGTTCGTTCGTACTATATTTTAGCCTATTTATATTGATGGAAATTATATAAGATATTGTAAAATTATAGTAATATTTCAGGGATTATATTGTGTAAATATTGTTCTTTTGTGTTGCCTGTATGAACGTTGCGATATTATATGGCGTTACAGCGAATGTCACTATAAAAGGCGATGCATAATTTGAATATGTCAGTTGGAGCTGAATCTGAGACTGGGTCAGGCGAGACAACTCGAGTTAGAAGGTACGCTTTTTAACAGTTAGATTTTGTTAGTGTATTTTTCCTATAACTGTTACAATGGTCCTGAATTGGATATTGTCACGGAAAATAACATTAGTTTAGTTTTATCATATATTTCAGATAACTATCTTTGTATACAGATTTAGTCACGTAATGTGAAAAGTCTGTCAAATAACCTTAGAAGTGGCGTTTAGCATTTTATTAGTTAAATAACGGTTTATGTCATAACTTGTGTCGGATCTTGAATAAGATTGTCACATGAAAATCTTATATTTACGAAAGAAGGATTTATTATAAATAATTGTCTGATAACCTGTATCGACTGTGATTTCGGTGAACAGGAAAACTTTCATTACATAGGGTTAACATAAATAATATAAGCGTTAAGCTATTCATTTGGCTGTTAACGATAAGTTGTTGTTTCTATTCTATATGATGGTCAGCTAGTAAGATTTTATGTAATACTCAGATTCTCTGTAATGTAGATTACATTACAGGCCAGCTCATTATATTTTGGGTGATCACTTTTGACTTGCTGTACAGTATATTAATTCACGCTACCAAGTATTTGAATTATAGTGATCAGCGGTCAGAAGAACCGTTTAAGTGTACATAATTTCACTTTGATTTGTATTGTACCTTTATCATTCATAATGAATAAATCCGATGCATCCTAACTACGTGCTTAAGTTATCTTAACAGAAATCTAGCACAAACGGACAGTGGAGAACACGTCCAAATNAATCAATTGGACACGCTACTGAAAAAATATGTTTACATGAAACAGGAAACGAGAACAGGGTGCACAGAGTTTGAGTGATTTTCATAATTTTAAAGTTAAAATTGGCGATTATACACACAAGAACGATATCACGACAAAACGTTGTTAGTCAGTTTTTAGCGATACCATTGATATACAGCAAGATTGTGTCATTCAGGACACCGACGGAGTTCGATGAAAAACAATTTTCCAATAGCCTATACTAGAGCAAATGGGATGTGAAGGGGATATTACAGAGAGAATTCATGCTAAGGATTCTTTTCTAGCGGAACTTTCCAAAATTTCATTGCAGATCGCCAAGCTGTCAAAGAGCGTCCAAACAACTTGTAGTAAAAAAAAACTTTTGGAAATATCGAACAGATGTCTACTTGTACGGAAAAGTGTACAATACTGAGACATTTCAAACGCGAAGGCAGTGAGTGTAAGCTCAGGGAGACGAACTGTATATGTTTAAGGTCACCTGTATGTATATATGGTTTGCGATGTGTATGGTATAGATGGGAACGGTGTCTTTTGACATCTCTATTCTGTTGATGAGCGTGTTCTTGGCATGTTGACCATAGCCAACAAGACCACAGCCTCCTTCTAGGACGCGTCTCGTAGAAATGATATCAGGATTTGACAATACGATCGATCGTGATCCGGAACGACGTGGCTAACACCTCTATCCCCTGAACCAGATAATAGAATTGTGTGGAGAATATCTTCATATTGTCTTGGAATGTGTGTAAAAGTGTAGAAGACAAATCAAAACTGAAAGTATGTACTTACTGATAGAAGATATTGATGTTTCTGTATAAATGCTGGATAATGAAGATAATGAGCAAAGGGAGCCGAGAATGTGTTACTGTATCGCTATGTTTAGACACAAGCTGATGTGTTCAGAGTACTTTTACACGTTTTATTATTTTAATTCAACTTGCGATAAAACCGCCATCCCAGATGATGGTATATCCGAGGAGGATTGAAAACTTTCGACATCGAACATAGACTCCACATAGCTCGCATCGAAAATCACATTTCCAGAGGATATATCTATAAAAGATACTTTGTATTGATAAAATGATGGAAAACTTTATTTCACAAACCTCTAATAACCACGTACTCTCCCTCTGCAAACATGGGTTCGGTTTCCTCCGAAAGCGTATATGCCATTTCGATGTTTCCAGTTTTGTTTTCCTTTCCCTAAATAATCATGAGATTTGAGTCGGTCACATGTTTTAAACACACGTGGTGTAATTGACTGCTTAAAAATTTATGGAACGGATGCGGCAATTATTAACAAGCTTTAAAGTCGGGTGTAGCTCCATTATACTTTTCAAGGTACAGTTATCAGCCCATCGATTGGTCAGGTTTCTAATAGAAGGACTGATGTTCACGAAAGAATTATTGTAGCATGAAAAATATGGTGTGATTTTTTATGCTCCATTAATTATTTTGACAACAAAATGATTTTGACAATTTTATATCTTACACTTGCCAAACTCAAGGGATGACAAGTGAAGCTGTTTAACGTTAGATGACCGAATCGGCCGAGAAGTTCCGAGTGATGTAACCCCATACAGATAAAACAGGCATGAATAATAAGGGGAGACCGGGGCAAGTTCGGCCATTTTTTTTTTTATTATTATTAAAGTCGTTCTGTGTAGTATATGGTTTGTTGAAATGTATGTACGTATACACAATTGGGAAAAAAATCCATCCCTTTTATAAAACTTTAACAAAAGAGCAAACCCGTCCGTATTTGATCTTTTATAATTGTCTGGCGGAGGTTTTGAAGGACGCACGTGCCACGCCTTGTGGGCAAGTTCGGACAGGCAGTCTGGGATAAGTTCGACCATCGTTGAAATCAGCTTAATATTGTGACGTCATAAAGCAACGTTAGATTTTCCCGCCAATTTCACTACTTTTCATGTGCCAAACTTGAATGCCCAAAATTGATATTTCAATGAATTCGCATATTTAGCAATATGAAACGCAATACTAGGCTTTTATGTATACCATCATGTGAAGCTGACAGTGTGTTACACGTATGTCATAAATAAGTAGCAGTTCGGTTTACAGAAAGTTCACAAAACTACACTTAAAAGAAGTGAGGTCACTATTTTCTTTCTACCCCTCCAAAAAGAAAATGTATCTCTTTTAATAAATTTCCTCGACAGTTTTTCGTGTGAATGGCCCGTCCCATTCTCTATACTCCAGGGATTGAGCTCACTTTCGCTCTCTGCACCCCTGGAATAAGTCATAGCAAAATTGAAGGCCCAGTGTGCACCACCTTGTTGATGAGACAAGAAAACTAGTTCGACCCTTTAATTAACATCAAAAGAATATCTCGGTCACGTTACGGTAAACATTGTCAGGCTTTGAGGTCGGGTGTCGCCGCTCCTGTGTAAGCTAGTATCAGCCTAGCGATTGGTCAGGGTTTTTTTGTGAAAATGAGCGTAATACCTCAGTATCGATCACGAGGATGGTCCCGGACGCCCAGCCAACTAAACAGTTGGGATCCTCAAAGTTGTAAAATATTACTAGCTCACGACAAAAAATATCAGTATAGCGACCCCGTTCTCCTCAACCCCTTGTAAAGCTTTTAAAATTACATTTTCTGGTAAAAAAATATAATAATGATGGCGTGTGTAATAGTTCCTTGTTACGGACACCCGAGACGTACATATTACAATATGTATTAGAGTAACAGTGTGACTTAGGTCACATAGTTCCTTGTTACGGACACCCGAGACGTACATATTACAATATGTATTAGAGTAACAGTGTGACTTAGGTCACATAGTTCCTTGTTACGGACACCCGAGACGTACATATTACAATATGTATTAGAGTAACAGTGTGACTTAGGTCACATAAATACTACACAGGTGTATTAGAGTACAATGTGACTTAGGTCACATATATACTACTCAGGTGTATTAGAGTAACAGTGTGACTTAGGTCACATAGTTCCTTGTTACGGACACCCGAGACGTACATATTACAATATGTATTAGAGTAACAGTGTGACTTAGGTCACATATATACTACACAGTTGTATTAGAGTAACAATGTGACTTAGGTCACATATATACTACTCAGGTGTATTAGAGTAACAGTGTGACTTAGGTCACATAAATACTACACAGGTGTATTAGAGTACAATGTGACTTAGGTCACATATATACTACCCAGGTGTATTAGAGTACCAGTGTGACTTAGGTCACATATATACTACATATGTGTATTATAGTAACAATGTGACTTAGGTCACATATATTGTACATAGGTGTATTAGAGTAACAGTGTGACTTAGGTCACATAAATACTACACAGGTGTATTAGAGTACAATGTGACTTAGGTCACATATATACTACACATGTGTACTAGAGTAACAGTGTGACTTAGGTCACATAGTTCCTTGTTACGGACACCCGAGACGTACATATTACAATATGTATTAGAGTAACAGTGTGACTTAGGTCACATATAGACTACACAGGTGTATTATAGTAACAGCGTGACTTAGGTCACATATATACATATACTCCACAGATGTATTAGAGTAACAGTGTGACTTAGGTCACATAAATACTACACAGGTGTATTAGAGTACAATGTGACTTAGGTCACATATATACTACTCAGGTGTATTAGAGTAACAGTGTGACTTACGTCAAATATATACTACATAGGTGTATTAGAGTAACAATGTGACTTAGGACACATATATACTACATAGGTGTATTATAGTAACAGGGTGACTTAGGTCACATATATACTACATAGGTGTATAAGAGTAACAATGTGACTTAGGTCACATATATACTACACATGTGTATGAGAGTAACAGTGTGACTTAGTTCACATATATACTACATAGGTGTATAAGAGTAACAGTGTGACTTAGGTCACATATATACTACATAGGTGTATAAGAGTAACAATGTGACTTAGGTCACATATATACTACATAGGTGTATTAGAGTCGCAATGTGACTTAGGTCAAATACATACTACACAGGTGTATTAGAGTAACAGTGGGCGTTAGGTCACATATATACTACATAGGTGTATTAGAGTAACACTGTGACTTAGGTCACATATATACTACATAGGTGTATTAGAGTAACAGTGTGACTTAGGTCACATATATACTACATAGGTGTATTAGAGTCGCAATGTGACTTAGGTCACATACATACTACACAGGTGTATTAGAGTAACAGTGTGCGTTAGGTCACATATATACTACATAGGTGTATTAGAGTAACAGTGTGACCTAGGTCACATATATACTACAAAGGTGTATTAGAGTTACAGTGTGACTTAGGTCACATATATACTACACAGGTGTATTAGAGTAACAGTGGGACCTAGGTCACATATATACTACATAGGTGTATAAGAGTAACAATGTGACTTAGGTCACATATATACTACACAGGGGTAAAAGAGTAACAATGTGACTTAGGTCACATATATTCTACACAGGTGTATTAGAGTATCAGTGTGACTTAGGTCACATATACACTACATAGGTGTATTACAGTAACAGTGCGACTAAGGTCACATATATACTACATAGGTGTATTAGAGTAACAGTGTGACTTAGGTCACATATATGCTACACATGTGTATTAGAGTAACAGTGTGACTTAGGTCACATATATACTACACAGGTGTATTAGAGTATCAGTGTGACTTAGGTCACATATATACTACACATGTGTATTAGAGTATCAGTGTGACTTAGGTCACATATATACTACACATGTGTACTAGAGTAACAGTGTGACTTAGGTCACATATATACTACATAGGTGTATTAGAGTAACAGTGTGACTTAGGTCACATACATACTGCATAGGTGTATTAAAATAGCCGTAGGTATTTTTATTAACATCTGATTTTAATGAGATTGGGTTTACTAGCTGCACCATTTGGTCTCGCTGGAAAGCAATATTTTAAAATTTCTGCACTGTAAGTTATATTATTCGCGCGGATATCTCTTATCAGTCGGATATTTCACAGTGTCTTCGGTTGAACTATATTATTGCAATTATTGTTATCGATAACGTTTACTTAAATAAAATGAAATTAAATTAAAACAAACTGCGTTGTCAACTCATATAAGTCTGCAGTCAATCACATGTTGTCAAACGAACCCAACGTCCGGGGGTCAAGGGAAATAACTCTTTCGGACGTCGCCACACAACACGTGTGTCATATGACAAATCTCGTGACCAGTATACAAGGCCCCGTTTATGTATTTATAAAACACCGACGCTAGGTAATATGTCGATGTTCAGGGTATACATGTTCGGGACCACAGGCTATAAAGTTTGAGTCTCTCGATTCGTGAGCACACACGGAATCTCAAGATGAAAGTGTTGTGTATTTTCGCTTTGTTGGCTGTGATAGCTTGCAGTTCTGCACTGCACAGGTAAGATTTGTATCACCAAATTGAACTGGATGCACCGATTCATAGTCACGAGAACTGAGAATGTGTATAAGGGGTCTTGCTCCTGTCTTCTATATTATGACAGGTTGATTTTTTTCATATGTGTAGATTGATGTTTACACTTTACGTGAACAAGTTATATTAACATACAAAAAAAACACATAAATCTGTGTGAGTGTCGATTTTATCTGGTGTAAATCAAAACATCACTTACGTTAAGTTCAGATAAATGCATTGTTATCAACAAAGTTTTAGCAAATGTCGCAGGTATTGTATATTCCTAATTGATTTGATACATGATCTGGCTTTCTACCTTGTTGAACTTACAAAAAATACCATACCGTACGCGTGTTATACGCCCGTGAATGGTTATATAGGCCGGGACATACCAAAGTCCTTAAAATGGTAGTTGTTATTCCCTGCTTAACGACTGGTTCAGCCGTTGTCAGTAAAATGTGACCACAGGTGTTTGAAATTCTGACTGTAAATTGAGATAGATATGATTTTTATTTCAATTTAAGTTTACAGTCAGAATTTCAAACACCTTTGATTTGACCTGGCGGAATGCTGTGGTGGGTGCCTTTGTCATGGTATTTCAGTTAGATAGCACTATAAAGTCGGCATCAGATCCGCACGATCACAAGGAGACGAACACTATGGCACGCCATCCTGTTAAAAAATACATTAACTACTTAAGGGCAAATCTTTTGACCTTAAGTGAAATATTATTGGAAAATCATTTGATCTTAAAAGCTTCAATTGCGCATAATGGCAAAAAGTTTTGCCCTTAAGGTCAGATGATTTTCCATGAAGTATAAATGAAATTGGTCATATAATGACAAAAGCGAGTATTTGTCGTTATGTTAATTAATTTTAACGTTAAGTAGGAAATCATTTAGCTGATACTTAATGTTAAAACTTTTTACCTTATGGTCAAATCTTTTGACCTTAAGTGTAAAAAGAATATTGTTTGCCATTATGTGACGTAAGACGTGTTGGCATATCCCTTGTATGATAAATGGAATCGTCTGATGCACTGGGCATGTGTAAACATCTATTTTTGCCCGCCATATTTAAATGGCGTCCGTTCAGGTGGGAAATTATGAACAATTGTAAACCGAGGACTCGACTGACGGAATTAAGCAGCTGTTGGTGATAATAAGAGTTGATTTGGATCAATAAATAATCCATTTTTCGATATATATGTTAGGTATGTGTTGTGTCCTAGCCAAGTTTTGTTGTCAGAACCTCAAATTATTCTTGGACACATCACGGTGTCGGAGAATTCCACATTTTCATATATAGCAGTGCGCTTTGGCCCCACACCAGACATCTATCTGTCGAAATGTCAAAGTCTGGTGTCAGGGACAGAGGAAAATTCTGGCTACCTATTATGCTCTAGTTAATTTTGGAACAATTTATTTCAATAATACTGCAAACAAAGAAAACATCTTATGTAGGTATAAAACACATACCATGATACTTTTTTTTGTTAATTGCAATAACAGTGATTTTACAATACAGTTGTAAGCGTAAAACATTCATTATTAGGCCTAACACACATCTACCATTGTGTAAGTGGAAAGTGTTTTTTACCTAATAAAATGTAAAGTAATATAATAAATCGTATATTTTCATGGCAAACAACTAAGAAACCACCGCTATCATCCAATTCAGGCATCCAAAGACTTTTTCAAGTTCTCTTACATGCCAAGGACCATAGCGGACCCTCTTCTCTTGCTGATGCAGACAGCATTAAACAATTACCACCCCTCCCCCTAGGTTCTCACGGCTTAACTCCACACATACAGTATAACATCATACACATCTTCTCTTCATCTGTCTCACTAACATAGGCTGGTCCATGTGTGTATGCACACCTGCCGCCCCTCAGAGTCGCCCGGGGGACAAAGTCTAACATGTCCTGTATGGAATCATTTATTTATCACGTGCACAGTCATGCCGTAAGACACAGTGTTTTTGTTGCGTAAATTTTACAACAGCCTGTTCTTTATGAATTGGGAAAATAAAGCATTATTTGTATTGAAATTGGGAATATATTCCTCAGTTTTTGGTCATTTTGGGAAAATAAGGCAATTTTTAGCAAGGGGAAACAGCCTGCATTCGGCTGTAAAATTGAGCAAAATAAATCACTGACACGGAATACCTTTCCCTTATATATAATTTATACTTTTGCTTATTTCCTACAATTATAACCATAAGGTTTCTTTTTTCTGCACATGTGCCCACATGCTCTAGAAGAGGTTTGATGAAAATCCCTTCATTAATAAAAAAAAAAAAAAAGGAGAAAGATTTTCAATTTTCTTGTATTTCCCCTATTGGGCCTCACATGCACCTTTTTATACAAATTAAACAAATTGGTTTTTTTCCCTAAGCTAGCTTCAGACCACATTTTGCTTAAATCCCTTCATTTGTACTGCAACATAGCCGTTCTCCTCGACCTGCATACACACACGCAATCAAGTATACACTACACACAAGGAGGCACGTCAGTCAATGACCTTAGCTGTTAATACAACGTTAAATAGAATTAAATCAAACCAAACACTGTCATTGTATTTTTCTTTTAAGATCTGACGAGGTTAAACAATGCCAAGTTCCTCTTCCACCGACACCAGACTTTGACATTTTGTCAACACCAGACATCTATCTAACAAAATGTCCAAGTCTGGTGTCAGGGCTACAGGAAACTGGGGCTAGTTATATTTAACAGACGCTGGAAATAATCACCCCAACAATTTTGAAACAAATTTCTGCTAGCATCTGGAGGAAATGTACAATAGGCTCCCCTACTATCAAACATAAGTATATTTCCACAATACTATAAACTTTGTACTACAAGAGCAGTATTGCCAGGTTTTTACGTATCATACTGCAGTGTGCACACTGTATATAAACTGTGATATATATATTCATTCTTTCCGGTACTTGTGAATTGTACTGGCCTAATGGTATCTTTTTAAAATTATACATTAGAATTCTCAAAATGCCAAAAAATGCCACCAGAAATGGATTTGATTCCATTTAGAAGCACATTGAGAAGTGAAGCAATGCACACCGACTGTCACCTACAATGAACCATGAAGCAACTTCATCATTTCAAAAATTGAAAAAAAAGTACCATTATGGAATTTCATAGGGATAAGTAATCCAGAACATTCCCGCGGTTTATGTAAATAGACGCCTTAATCTGCTTGGATCACATTGGTTTATGTAATTAGAGGCCTTAATCTGCTTGGACCACATTGGTTTATGTAATTAGAGGCCTTAATCTGCTTGGACCACATTAGTTTATGTAAATAGACGCCTTAATCTACTTGGACCACATTGGTTTATGTAATTAGAGGCCTTAATCTGCTTGGACCACATTGGTTTATGTTATTAGAGGCCTTAATCTGCTTGGACCACATTATTTTCTTACCCACAGCAAGTTATTGAGAAAAGAAAAAATATGTTTATCATTTGTAGAATCAAGCTTCACCGAGTGAAGACAGTGAGACGTACTCTACAAGAGGTTGGAACAAGCATCGACCTCCTACAGAACCGGTACACTGGCTTACTGAACAGCAATGGACGTCTTCTTGGACCAGACCCAGAGCCTCTGTCAAACTATATGGATGTAAGACAAAATACATATACCATATATATATATAATTGATTTGTCAAAGAGATTCTAATTTCTATATCTGTAACGACCTTCTGTATAACCAAAGGGGATCTACATTATTTATAACATTGCGATTCTGTCACAATGTGGAGATGTTCCTTTTTCGTATTGACCAATCAAATGGTTCTTCCTATATATTGCATTTCTGAAGGACTCGCACAACTAAGTCATTTACTATAACTAATTAAGCTTTTGAGGTAATAGCGTAGATATTTGAATTTCAACACCAGTGACAACTGTCTAGACTCACAGATATATATATCTGACAAAGGCTTCAAAAGTCATTTTCTGGCTGGTTAAGTGGCATATTAGATCCTAATAGGCGTCTGCTTTTGACAACTGGAAGAAACCCAAACCGGGGAAGTGGGACGGAAACCCCCCTGACATTTGACCCCATATCAATCCTCCATCGCATATTAAAATCTACCAAAAGTATACATTTTTGTAAAATTAAATATCTGTAGATTTCATTCAATGTAAAGTATGTCAACAATAGTCCTACGTGTATTTAAAACTCAGAGGCACTGTGTTAACCCAGAATAAACTTCAGGTAGGGATGACACTCGTATGAAATGTGCGAGTCCTGAAGCAGACAATTTGTTTTTTCAAATGCTGATGAAGTGATTGTAGAATGATGAGTTGTTTTGATATTTCTTTGTTTTTTTGTTTGGAAAATATTTAGGAGTATTAAATATATTCCAAACTGCACAATTCATAACATGTGAAAAGGAAGTCTTACTAGGAAATGACTCATATTGTTTCCTTACAGGCTCAATACTACGGAATGATCACCATTGGGACACCACCTCAGTCATTCAAAGTGGTCTTTGACACTGGCTCCTCCAACCTGTGGGTTCCATCCAAGAAGTGCAAACTCTCCGACTTAGCCTGCTGTAAGTTTATTAGCTAACTTATCCATTAGAAAAAATGTGAATATTTGACAACTCTCTCCGTTTAGGAGGGGGACTCCCAATTTTGGACCCTTCAATTTAATATAATTTTCCAACAAGTGAATTTTCTAAACCATTCCTACATTCTAAGATCAGCTCCAAATTTGTCGTTTTATTGAGACTAATTTGGTCTCTAGGGGGTATACAATGTATACACATCTTATTATTGCTTTAAGTCTCTAGGGGGTATACAATGTATATACACATCTTATTATTGCTTTTAGTATCTAGGGGGTATACACACATATCTCCTTATTGCTTTTAGTCTCTAGGGGGTATATACACACATTTTATTATTGCTTTAAGTCTCTAGGGGGTATATATACACATCTTATTATTGCTTTTAATCATTTTGAGCACACACTTGACAGAATATCCCTGATAGACATTTCAAAAGGTTGGAATTGTCAAGTATGAATCTGATATATTAGATTAAATATATCTTGAATAACTATTAGTACTGTAACATTTAGACCTTTATTTTCCTAGAATGTAGGACAATAAATTGAAAAATGCTTGTATCTGAAAATATCATATCCTCATGAATTCCTACCTTAAGGCTAGAACATGTACAGTAATTAAAAGGTTTGTTTAGTTGAAAATTTGGTAGTGGTGGTAGGTCAGAATATTTTGCTATTTGCAATGTGAGTTGTATCTGTATTTAACAGTACTTCACAACAAGTATGACAGCACCAAGTCCAGTACTTACAAGCAGAATGGCACACACTTTGAGATCCGATACGGCACAGGCAGTCTAACAGGCTTCCTCAGTACAGACTCGGTAACGGTAAGCTGTCAACTTTCATTACTTAGCTGTCAATATTCAAAGCCAGGTTTTCCCAAGCCATACTTGCTACATTATTAAAATTGTGTGGCTTTAGCAAGGTTTTAGACATCTTGACATGTATATATTTGGATACCAGTCATCGCCTGTGGAAATCCTTTATCATTTTAATCTGCAGAAACAGCCTTTACCATTTGATGATATTGAAAGTTAGGATATACTGTCCGTTCAATTAACAATAATATGAGCTTTTTCTTAAGTTATCAGCAATCAGTTTTACAGGCAATATCTCATAACCAAAACTTATGAAAGTAAATGAAAATAGTTATTACATGTACAAATTGTCACTGCATGACACCCAGCATATCATCTTTTTTAGACTAGCTAATAGAAACCCCAAATTTCACAGGGTTTTCCAAATTTTTGTTAGAAACCCGAATGTCACCTTCTTCCCAAACTCTGCTATTACAGTGTCATATATAAATTTTAATGACTAAAATATTCAAATTTACAGTATTATTTATTTGTATTACCGATACCTGAGGTATGAAGACATATTTATTATCTTTTCATTTTTGAAAAAAGAAGTGATATATGTTGTCCTTCTAAAATAAACATATTGTTAAATCTAATATCTGTTACTCTAAAATATATGATGATGTTTGAAACCTTTGTTAAATCTTCCTCAGATTGGAGACATCACTGTGAAGGGCCAGACCTTTGCTGAGGCCATCACACAGCCCGGTATAACCTTTGTGGCTGCCAAGTTCGATGGAATTCTAGGAATGGGTTACGATACCATCTCTGTTGACCATGTGGCCCCAGTCTTCAACAACATGGTCCAGCAGGGACTTGTCGACAGCCCAGTCTTCTCATTCTACCTTGACAGGTAAAATATATAACAGGGGAACCTAGATCACCTATCAACATAGCAACTGGTTTATCTCTAGTGGCAGTCACATAAACATTCACTGGATAACATCTAGTGTCGGTCACATAAACATTCACCAGATAACATCTAGTGGCAGTCACATAAACATTCACCAGATAACATCTTGTGTCTGTCACATAAACATTCACTGGATAACATCTAGTGTCGGTCACATAAACATTCAC